GCACCCTCGAATGTTCTTCGGTTTGGCCGGCGGAGGGTCTCATGTTCTTTGAGGATGTTATTCTGCCGTAGGTCCGACCGTATGACCTGCCCGCGCGGCGTCACCCCAGCAACACTAGCTGGTGGAGCGGATTTCAGCTTTGTAGTTGGCCTGCGCTTCTGCAGCAACGAACCGGCGGCTGGCGCCATGGCTCGTCAGGAGGTGGGGGAGGGCGAGTGGGGGGGGGGGAGGACGAGGAGGAAGAGGGGGAGAAGGAGGAGGAGGATGAGGAGGAAGAGGAAGATGATGAGGATGAGGATGAGGATGAGGATGAGGATGAGGAGGAGGAGGAGGAGGAGGAGGAGGAGGAGGAGAAGATGGAAATGGCAGAGGGGCACAGGAGGCGGGTGCCGCTCCTGGCTCCTTGCATACCGCGTGGTAGCTGACGGCGCAGGGCACACGCCCGTGCGTGATGCCGACCCTCTTGACGTTGGCGAGGTGCTTCGCGACCGCAGTGCCACCTCGAGGTTGGCGGTCCCACCGCCCGCGCGCGCCCCCGCAGGCCCGGGCGGCTCGGACGCGAAATGGCTGGAGGAGGAGAAGGAGGAGGAGGGAGGAGGATGAGGAGATAGGGTGGATGATGATGTTGGTGATGATGCTGATGATGGTGGTGATGATGCTGCTGCTGATGATGACACTGATGATGATGATGCTGATGATGATGATGACGATGATGATGACGATGCTGATGATGATGATGACGATGATGATGATGATGATGGTGGTGACGACGATGATGATGCTGATGATGATGCTGATGATGGTGACGACGATGATGATGCTGATGATGCTGCTGATGATGATGCTGGTGATGCTGCTGCTGCTGATGATGATGATGACGACGACGATGATGATGATGATGGTGGTGATGATGATGATGATGGTGACGACGATGATGATGCTGATGATGATGCTGATGATGATGCTGGTGCTGCTGCTGCCGATGATGATGATGATGATGATGATGATGATGATGATGGTGATGGTGATGATGATGATGATGATGATGATGATGATGATGGTGACGACGATGATGATGCTGATGATGATGCTGATAATGATGCTGATGATGCTGCTGCTGATGATTTTGATGCTGCTGCTGATGATGCTGCTGATGATGCTGATGATGATGACGATGATGATGATGACGATGATGATGATGATGCTGATGATTATTATGATGGACGATGATGCTGATGATGATGACGATGCTGATGATGTGATGATGCATGACGATGATGATGATAATGATGATGATGATGATGATGAATGATGTGGTGGTGACGACGATGAATGATGCTCAGATATGCTGTGTGATGATGAACGATGCTGATGCTGGATGATGATGCTGTGATGGGAAAAAAAAAAAAAAAACAAAAAAAATTGCCCGGTAATTGCTGCTGCTGATGATGATGATGATGATGATGATGATATGACGACGACGATGATGATGATGATGATGATGATGATGATGACGGTGGTGATGATGATGATGGTGACGACGATGATGATGCTGATGATGATGCTGATGATGATGCTGGTGCTGCTGCTGCCGATGATGATGATGATGATGATGATGGTGATGGTGATGATGATGATGATGATGATGGTGACGACGATGATGATGCTGATGATGATGATGATGATGTTGATGATGCTGGTGATGCTGCTGCTGATGATGACGACGAACATGATGATGATGATGGTGATGATGATGATGGTGGTGACGACGATGATGATGCTGATGATGATGCTGATGATGGTGACGACGATGATGATGCTGATGATGCTGGTGATGCTGCTGCTGATGATGATGATGACGACGACGACGACGACGATGATGATGTATGGTGATGATGATGATGATGATGGTGATGATGATTGATGATGATGATGATGAATGTGGACGACTATGATGCTGTCTGATGATGCTGATGATGATGCTGGTGGATGCTGTCTGCTGATGATATGACGACGATGATGCTGAATGATGATAAGGTGGTGATGAGATGATGGGACGATGATGATGATGCTGATGATGAATCTGAATATGCTGATGGCTGGTGACGACGAATGATGATTTGATGATGATGCGATGATGATGAGGAGGAGATGCGCTGATGAATGATGATGATGACGACGACGACGACGATGATGATGATGATGATATGATGATACGATGATGAATGATGATGATGAATGATGATGATGATGATGATGATGATGAATGATGCTGATGATGATGATGCTTATGATGATGATGATTATGATGACGATGATGATGATGATGATGATGATGATGATGATGATGATGATGATGATGATGATGATGATGATGATGATGATGATGGTGATGATGATGATGATGATGATGATGATGATGATGATGGTGACGACGATGATGATGCTGATGATGATGTTGATGATGATGCTGATGATGGTGACGACGATGATGATGCTGATGATGATCTTGATGATGATGCTGTTGATGCTGCTGCTGCTGATGACGCTGATGATGATGACGACGACGACGACGATGATGATGATGATGATGATGATGATGATGATGATGATGATGATGATGATGATGATTATGATTATGCTGATGTTGATGCTGATGATGATGATGATTATGATGATGATGACTATGATGATGATGATGATGATGATGATGATGATGATGATGATGATGATGATGATGGTGATGATGATGGTGATGGTGAGGAGTTGGAGGAGGAGAGGAGCAAGGCTTCGATTCGCTGGGTGACCCAGCCGTCGGCTGTCAGGTTGTCAGGAGGACGAGGAGGAGGAGGAGGACAATACCAGGACCCTCTTCTTCCTGGCCTTCTCCCCTCCTTGGCCGGCGCGGGCCACCGGGTGGTATCTCCAGGGCGCGCTCCTCCGTAGGAGCTCCTCGTCCTGCCTCCCTCGGCAGGGCGCACCCTGAGACGTCCATGGTCCTCCTCTTCCTTCCCCCCTTCCTTTCTTCCCACGCAGGCTGACACGACCGACCCCAAGGACCGTCCTCCCTCCGTCCCTCCTCCTAATTGTTTTGCCCATTTGTTTCGCATTGCATGTTGACCAGACACGCCAGATTCCCGAGGCCACGGCCTCGCCCACCCGGTCTTGAGTAGGCCCGGACGCTGTCCGCAACGGTGGTCGCATCGCATCGCGTCGCAGGCGGTGCCCCTGGAGTCCCCAACCCCCTTTGCGTCGGGCCTGTCCCTTTCTAGGAGGAATTTTCAAAAATAGCTCAACAGTAGACTGGATGCGATTTTGTTTGAATATTTTGAGTTTTGTTAGATCATGTTTTTGGGTATTTCGGATGTTTCGTCCAAAATGCGCCTGTAGGAGGACATGCCCGACCTGAAACTCCCTCCCCAGGGACAGCTTCTCCTCCGGAGCAGTTTCTTGACGGCCCCGGGGCCGGGACCGGGTAGGGGGCCGAGCACCTGCTGCGGTGTCTCTTCTTTCCACGAGGCGAGGTGGCCTTCCTTCCGGGTCCACCGGCGGCCCTTCGAGACGAGCTGGGCACCCTTGGGACACGCCCTCGGCCAGGCACAGGTGCAGGATTAGGCCAGGCATGTCCTCCTACAGGCGGATTTGTGAGGAGAAATCAAATTATCCCAGTGCGACCCTACCTAGGAGTTGGAGCCCCTAGGAAAGCAGCATTAGTAGTAACAGAAAAGCTAAGCTAAAGCTAAGATAAAGCTAAGCTAAAGCTAAGCTAAAACTAAACTAAAGCTAAGCTAAATCTAAGTTAAAGCTAAGCTAAAGCTAAGCTAAAGCTAAGCTAAAGCTAAGATAAAGCTGAGCTAAAGCAACGCTAAAGCTAATCTAAAACTAAGCTAACGCGAAGCTAGAGCTAAGCTAAAGCTAAGCTGAAGCTAAGCTGGAGCTAAGCTGAAGCTAAGCTAAAGCTAAGCTGAAGCTAAGCTAGAGCTAAGCTAAAGCTAAGCTGAAGCTAAGCTGACGCTAAGCTGGAGCTAAGCTAAAGCTAAGCTGAAGCTAAGCTGAAGCTAAGCTAAATCTAAGCTAAAGCTAAGCTAAAGCTAAGCTGAAGCTAAGCTGAAGCTAAGCTAAAGCTAAGCGAGAGCTAAGCTAAAGCTAAGCTAGAGCTAAGCTGAAGCTAAGCTAACGCTAAGCTAGAGCTAAGCTAAAGCTAAGCTAAAGCTAAGCTGAAGCTAAGCTAGAGCTAAGCTAAAGCTAAGCTACAGCTAAGCTGAAGCTAAGCTGAAGCTAAGCGGAAACTAAGCTAGAGCTAAGCTAGAGCTAAGCTGAAGCTAAGCTGAAGCTAAGCTAAAGCTAAGGTAATTCTAAGCTGAAGCTAAGCTAAAGCTAAGTCAAAGCTAAGCTAAAGCTAAGCTAACACTAAGCTAAAGCTAAGCTAAAGCTAAGCTAAAGCTAAGCTGAAGCTAAACTAAGCTGGGTGAACCCAGGGGGCGCAACTGGGGGAACCGCGGGGCGGGGACTGGGGGAACCGCCCGGGGCGGTTTCCATTGCCCGGCCCCTTAAGCAAAGAGAGTAAGAACCCTTCTAGGCAGAGCCTAGGTAGGGAGTATATTCGAATGCATAGATTGTCAACAAATGCTGACCAGGGATATTCCTTCTGTAGAGGGACGTGCCCGACTTAAGTGCAGAAGAGCACCCCGAGGCCAGAGAGCCTCTGCCCCGTTTTCTGCCGAGAGTTAGTGAAAGCGTACGAGCGCCTCGGCCCCGATTCCCTCGGGGAGGCTGCGTTGGTCGAAGACGAACAAAAACGCCATAAACATAAGCTTTTGGCGCTCCGCGCGGACTTCTTGGGTCCGCGCTGGGACCCCCTCGGCGGCGCCTCCGGCACTGCCCCTGGCGCGCTCCGCGCGACAGGGAGGGGGGGCCCTGCGCGATCCAAGAAGGCCGCTCGGAGCGCCAAACATTTATGCATATGGCGCTTTTGCTTCCTCCAGTTGGGCTGGCCTCAGGTGGAGGCGCTGTACTCCATCATGTACCACGGCAGGCGCCCTGCGAGGGGCAGGGCCGTGGTGCGCTGGGAGCCTGCTCTCTGCGTCTGCCTTGGGCCAGCGACCTTCCGCGGCCCTCGCTTCTCCCCCCTCGCACCCCCGCTGCCTCGCTCCCACCCTGCATCCCCCCCTCCCCCCCCTGCATCCTTCCCCCTCTCCCCTGCCTCCCTCCCTCTCTCCCCTCCCTCCATGCATCCCTCCCTCCCTCCCTCCCTCCCTCCCTGCATCCCTCCCCCCCTGCCTCACCCTCAGGAGGCTATGGCCTCCCCCACCAGCTCTGCATCAGGCCCGGGTGCCTGTCCGCAGAGGTGGTGGCTCGTTCGCTCCTCCGTTCCCGGCATCCTTCCCGCCTGCTGGGTGTAGAGTAGACGTTGCGTGCGCATGCGCCGGTGCGGTGCGGCGCGGCGTCCTGCACTGCGAGGCGCGTTGCAGCGCGCCTCCTTGATCGCTCGGGCGATCGCTCGGGCGCTGCGTTTGGGTCGGTTCAGCTGGCTCGCGTTCCGGGGCTTCCTGCTGGGATCACCTCTTCGTTGCGGTCCTCCTCTCCTCTGCTCTCTGTCTTGCTGCCCGGGGCCGAGCCACCCTTCGGAGCAAGGGTGTATTCCTCACCCGAGTGCAGGTCCCCCTCCCCTCCTCAACGACCGGATACTACTTACTGCTTGTGCCCCGCGGCACGGCTGCGGACAGCCTGCCTCGCTCTCTGGTGCTTCTCTCTGGTGGTGGTCTCGCCCCTGAAGGTAAGCCAGGGTGCAAGCCCAGAGCGTATTCGGCAGTCCTCCCCTCCTCCGTCTTCTGCTCCATGGGGTGGTCGATAGTCTTGTGGCGGCCCCTGCGCCTTTGATCATGCAGGCCTGGGATGATGGATGAAGATAGCTCGCTCCAGAGCTTTCCGTCACGCCCTCCGAGCGTTTCATAGCCCCATCTCATGGCAGCGTTCAACTGGTATGTGATTCTTGTATGCGGGCACCTGCTTCGCACGAGCTTCTCGCGCGGGTGGCGAGACGACCACGAAGGAAAGACCCCAGCTTTTCCGCACTCGCCCCTCCCCTCCGTCATCTGAGCGGCGCAGACAAGCGGGGTCGTTTGTGCCGACATTCGCGCGTAAGCTCCCCGCGCAAGGTCGCGCGTGAGCGTCCTCGCTTCGAATGCGGCGTGCCGCGCCGGCGGCCCGCGTAAGCTACCGCGCAAGATCGCTACGTCATCTCGCGTAAGACCCTTTTTTGATCGTCGCTAGTCTGGCGCTTGTCGTCCGCCGTCCCGACGACGACGACGCCGACGCCGACGCCGACGCCGCCGCCGACGACGACGACGATGACGCCGTCCCTCCTCCCCGCCCCCGCCGCAATTTAAATCCACAGGAGCGCTGCCCCCCGCGCTCTTCCAGCGAAGGCTGGATGGCCGGAGAGTGGCCCGCCCCCTCCCCGCTCTGCGTACGGAACTGACACACAGGAACTCAGACATTGAGATTTCATTTTTTTGTTTTCCTTGTTTTTGTGTTTGTTTTTGTTTTTGTTGTTGCTGTTGCTGTTGCTGTTGCTGTTGTTGTTGTTGTTGTTGTTGTTGTTGTTGTTGTTGTTGTTGTTGTTATTGTTGTTGTTGTTGTTGTTGTTATTATTGTTGTCGAACTTTCATTTCTGAAGAATAATTATTTTTGATCCCCCTCACCGGTGCATACTGCTCTTTCTCAATAAAAGTGTGCCCCTCGACGCTCGCACCCTGTTCTTTGACAGGGAAAGTCTTCCTGCCCAAACTGGGCCCCTGCCCCCCCAGATTACAACAACAACGGCTCCCGCCAGAGACTTCCTCCAAATTTACTCAGGACCCCCCGCCTGAGATTTCCTCACAATTTACTCAGGATCGGTGCTCCCGCCTGCGACTTCCTCGCAATTTAGTCAGGACCCCCGCTCCCATCTGAAACTTCCTCACAACTTACTCAGGAATAGCGCTCCCGCTTGAGACTTCCTCGCAATTGAATCAAGACTTCCTCGCAATGTAATCAAGACCCCCGCTCCCGCCAGAGAACCCTTCACATTTGATTCAGGAATTGTGCTCTCGCCTGTGACTTCCATACAATTTATTCAGAAATCGCGCTTTCGACGCTCAGGAAACACGTTGCGCCAAGGATGCCGTCACAATTTACTTGGGAATCGCGCTCTCGCCATACTCAGGCATCCCGCTTGAATGTCCCACTCGCCCGACCCGCCCGTCAGGGGATCGCCCGCCCGTCGTGGGCTCCCGCCCGAGACTTCCTTCAGGAACGGCGCTTTCGCCTCGGACTTCCTCGAACATTCACGCTCTTACCTTCCTGCTCCTCCTCCCTCTCCCTCCTCCCTCCTCCTTCCTCTTCTCCTTCCTCTTCTCCCTTCTCTCTCCCTCCTCTCTTCCCTCATCCTTATGCCTCTCTGCCCTATCCCCTCTCCCTCCTCTCCCTCCTCCCTTCTCCCTCCCCTCTCCTGCCTCCTACCTCCCTTTTTTTTTTTTTTTTTCTCTCTCTCTCTCTTTTTTTCCCCCTCTCTCTCTCTTTCTCTACCTCTCTTATCTGTCTTTCTCTCTCTCTCTGCCTCTAATCAACCGCCCCCCTCTTCCCTCTTTCTCTCCTGGCGTTTTCCCTCTTCCTTCGTCCCTCCCTCTCCCTTCCTCCCGCTCTCCCTTGTTCTCCCCCTCCTCTCTTTGCAGGGCCCACACCAAGTCCAATGGCGGGCACATCTACGCCCACAAAGGCTTGTCCGTTTGTTCAGGTTTGCCCGTCTGTCTAAGCCCGCCGCCCCCCGCAAAGAGAAATAATCCCCCCAAAGGGGGTGTGACCGAAGACAAAAAAGGGGGCGGGTATCGAGGGTGTGGGGAAGTAAGAGCGAACAGTCTTATAATGCTTGTTGTTGTTGTTGTTGTTGTTGTTGTTGTTGTTGTTGTTGTTGTTGTTGTTGTTGTTGTTGTCGTATTTTGTTTGTTTGTTCTTTTCGTTCGGAGCGCTTTCGATGTCTCAAAAATGTGCTCCCGTTGCAGCATAGGTCTTGTTTCGAGATCAGCGCTCTGTCCCCATCGTTCCGCACCACGCTGCCGCCCCAGCGCGGGCCACTTGTTCCGGATCCGTTTTGCTTCCTCATCGTTGTCGCCCCGCTCCTTTCCCTTCCCCCGCCTTCCCCCGGTCATCCTGCTCCTGTTTCTCCCGCTCCTGCTGCTGCTGTCTCTCGTCGTTCTCCTCCTTCATCCTCTTCCAGCGTACAGGAAAAATAACCCCTCTTCCTCCTGGTCATCCTCCTGCTCATCCGCCACCTCCTCCCATGTACGCAGCCCCCGTTTTGTGATTGCGCTTCACACAACGGGTTCTTTTGGGGGTTTCCGCTTCCGCCATGACCCTCATCGGCGGATATAGGAAACATAGCGCAGTGGAATGGGTGGGAGGGGTAGGATGTCAGAGGTGGCGCAAGCGCATTTGGCTTGCCCTCTCCCCTCTCCATCTCCCCCCTCTGACCATCCCTCCTGCGGACACGCCCAACCTGACCTTAGCTTGTTGTGCTTCTCTCCGCACCTGCTTCCTGTCGCTCCCTCGCCACTCCCCGTTTCCCCCCCCCCCCCCCCCCGCAGCGCGTCTCCCCAGAGGTTTGGACTCCTGTTAAGTCGGGCGTGTCCCTCTACAGGAGGTCGACTCAAACATAGTAAAAACTCGTCGGGGACGATGTCTCGATTATTTTTTAATATTCTGGAGTTTTTTTTGTGGGGGGGGTGTTTTGCGTTTCGCCCAAAATCCGCCTGTAGGCGGACACGCCCGACCTAAGACTCCTGCCGTGAAGCCAGCCTCACACCCCGAGCCGTCTTTTCGACCTTCGCGGGCCCCCCAGAGGCCGACAATGGCGCCACGCCGTCCGTGGGTAGAGTGTTTTGCGGTGTCGTGACCCGAGGAGGTCAGAGCCCCTCTCCCTCTGTGTCTCTTCTCCTCCCTCTCCCCTTTTCCCTCGGGCCCTCTTCTCCCTCGGGCCCTCTTCTCCCTCGGGCCCTCTCCTCCCTCGGGCCCTCTTCTCCTCCCTCGGGCCCTCTCCTCCCTCGGGCCCTCTTCTCCCTCTCCCCTTTTCCCTCTCCTCCCTCGGGCCCTCTTCTCCTCCCTCTCCCCTTTTCCCTGGGCTTGGCCTGGCGCTTCGTACAGGGTCCTGCCGAGTGCATTCAGCCAGCCCCTTCGGGGCGTGCCCCCCCCCCCCCCCCCTTCCCGAGCGGAGTTTTCCTTGGTGGGAGGGGGGAAGAGGAGTAGGAGGGGGATGATGCTGCTGCTGATGATGCTGATGATGACGATGATACTGATGATGATTCTGATGATGATTCTGATGATGCTGATGATGATGCTGCTGATGATGCTGATGATGATGATGATGCCGATGCTGCTGCTGCTGTGATGATGGTTACAATGATGATGCTGATGATGCTGATGCTGATGCTGATGATGCTGACGATGCTGATGTTGATGCTGATGCTGCTGCTGCATATGCTAACGATGACGATGACGACGACGATGCTGATGATGATGATGAAGATGCCGCTGCTGCTGCTGCTGCTGCTGCTCATGATGATGACGATGCTGATGATGGTGATGCTGCTGATGATGATGATGACGATGATGACGATAATAATAGTGCTGCTGCTGATGATGGGGCTGTTGCTGCTGCTGTTGCTGCTGCTGCTGACCACGACGATGATGCTGATGACGATGATGATGCTGATGCTGATAATGATGCTGCTAAGGATGCTGATGGTGATGATGATGCTGCTGCTGATGCAGCTGATGCTGCTGCTGATATGCTGCATCTGATGATGCTGCTGCTGCTGTTGACACTGATCATGATGATGGTGATGATGATGCTGAGGCTGAGTATGATGATGATGCTGATGATGATGATGATGATGATGAATGGTGGTGATGATGCTGATGATGATGCTGATGCTGATGCTGATGATGCTGATGATGCTGATGATGATGATGATGATGATGATGATGACGATGCTGCTG